GTGATCTCAGCTCACTGCAGCCTCTGCCTCCCAGGTTCAAACTATTCTGTCTCAGTCTCCTGAGTAGCTGGGACTACAGGCATATGCCAACACACCCGGCTAATTTTTATATTTTTGGTAGAGATGGGATTTCACCATATTGGTCAGATTGCTCTTGAACTCCTGACCTCAGACGATCCACCTACCTTGGCCTCCCAAAGTGCTGGGATTACAGGCATGAGCCACCGCACCTGGCTGTATTTTTAAATTTATCATTATTTTTTAGAGATGAGGGTCTTGCTATGTTGCCCAGGCTGGTCTCCAGCTCCTGGGCTCAAGCCCATCTTCCCACTTCAGCCGCCTGAATAGCTGGGATTACAGGCATGGGCCATTGCCCCTGGCTTTTAATATAACTTATTTTATTTTTATTCTTTGGTGTTTGCCAGACAGCTCTCAGTCTACACTGTTCAGAATGGCCCAGCTGCCCTTCCCAGGCAAAAATTAGAATTCCTTCCAGAGGGCTTGAGATGGCAGAGAATCTCAATCTCTCTCTGTCTCTCTCTGTCTCTCTCTGTCTCTCTCTCTCTCTGTCTCTCTCTCTCTCCCTCCCTCCCTCCCTCCCTTTCTCTCTCTCTTCTTTTCTCTCTCCCCTCTTGCCTATCCTAAGGAGGCCCCAACACCCTCAAGTGGGACTACACGAGACAAGATGGGACTTCCTACCAAAGACAGTTCCAGGCCCTGCCAGGCCCACCTGCCTTGATGTGTAAGAGGGTAAATTGAGGCTGTGTTGGGGCTGCAGGTGGGGGCAGAATTGGGGGCTGGGTGGTTTGGGCCTTCCTATCCCTGTCTGCCCACAGGCCTCCTCTACAGTGGAGCTGGGAGACTGCAAGATCAGCTATGGATCGATGTGTTCGGAGCAGAAACAGGCCTACAGGCCCCAGGGTCTGCCTGAAGATAGGTATAAAGGGGCCATTGCCGGGCACGGTGGCTCATGCCTGTAATCGCAGCACTTTGGGAGGCTGAGGCAGGTGGATCATGAGGTCAGGAGTTCGAGACCAGCCTGGCCAATATGGTGAAACCTCGTCTCTACTAAAAATACAAAAATTAGCCGGGTGTAATGGTGGGCACCTGTAATCCCAGCTACTCGGGAGGCTGAGGCAAGAGAATCCCTTGAACCTGGGAGGCGGAGGCTGCAGTGAGCCAAGATTGCACCACTGCCCTCCAACCTGTTCAACAGAGCAAGACTCCATCTCGAAAAAACAAAAGTGGAGAGGGCACTGCTTTCCCACCCAGATGGGACAATTGGCTTTCAGTAGCATGTGGTATGAGCCCCTTAGGGCTTTAGGACCAATACTCTGCCTTTGAGGTCTATGTCACTGGTAGCCAAGGTGCACTATTGTGCCAGGTCTCCCATTATTAGAGCCCCATGGCTTGGTCATTAGGAAACCCTGATCCCCTCCCCCTTTCTGGAGGTTACAAGGCCTCAGATGGATCCCTTTTACCTTCTTCTTCCTCTTCCTCTTCCTCTTCCTCCTCCTCCTCCTCTTCCTCCTCCTCCTCCTCCTCCTCCTCCTCTTCTTCTTCTTCTTCTTCTTCTTCTTCTTCTTCTTTCTTCTTTCTTCTTTCTTCTTTCTTCTTCTTCTAGACGGAGTCTCGCTCTGTCGCCCAGGCTGGAGTGCAGTGGCACGATCTCAGCTCACTGCAACCTCCGCCTCCCGGGTTCAAGCGATTCTCCTGCCTCAGCCTCCCAAGTAGCTGGAATTACAGGCACGTGCCACCATGCCCAACTAATTTGGTATTTTTAGTAGAGATGGGGTTTCACCATTTTTGCCAGGCTGGTCTCAAACGCCTGACCTCAGGTGATCCACCCACCTCAGCCTCCCAAAGTGCTGGGATTACAGGGGTGAGCCACCGCGCCGGCTCACTTTACCTTATTCTTGATAGAATAATACATTACATGCAGGTATGACAAGGCCCAGGCCGCAGCCCACATCCACTATGTAAATATCCGTCCTGGTGACGGCCTCTTTCACGGCAGAACCACCAAGGCCGAGCACTTCTATGCCCGGGAGCCAGGTGAGAGCCTGCGGCCCGCCCCGCCCCGCCTCCCACCGCAGCCTCCCAGGGCAGCTCTGCACCTGTTCCGCTCCTGGCAGAACCTTTTGTTCTTCACCACGATCAGACTCCGGAGTCGCACATCCTGAAAGGAAATTGGTGCCCCGGCCCCGGCAGTCTGGACACCTTCATGCAGTACTTCTACGGCCAGGTGAGCAGGAAGAGTGAAAAGGCGGCAGCGAAAGGGCTTCCCAGACAGAGCAAATAGCAGGTGCAGAAGTCCCAAAGGGGGAATGAGCTTGATATGTATGCAGGAATCTCCTGGATGTACTTGAGTGATCTAGGGCGAGTCACTTAACCACTCCGATCCTCCGTGGCTCCTTCTATAAAATGAGATGAGTACCACCTCCCAACGCTACCACGTGGGGCCCAGAAAGGGTGAGGGAGCTGTCCAAGGTCACACAGAGCCCACCTCCTCCCTCCCGATCCCGGGCCCGGGGACCTCTCGGACGCCGGAGCTTTCAAATGCCATGTGGTCCTACAGCCGCCACCCGCGACACAGCCACCCAGCCGCCACGTGCCTCACGAGAAACTGCAGAGTCACGTGACCCTAGGGGAGCCAAAGCTATACAGACGCTTCTTCAAGACCACCATGGGCTCTGACTACTGTCCCTCAGAGTGGAGGCAGGTGCACAAAGCGCCCAACCTCCACTTGCAGCCCAGCAACCTGCCGCAGGGGACCGGCGGTGAGCGCTCCCGGGAAGCCCCGCCCCATAGAGCCCCGCCCCAGGAAGCCCCAGCCCTGGAAGCCTCGCCCCCTGCCACTGCTCGGGCCCCGCCCCTAACCAGCCCTCCCCTCCCCCTGGTTTCACCCCCGAAAGGCTAAATCCCACCCCCAATTGACCAGAACCCCAACTCTGCCCCTGGATAATCCCGCCCCTTCATGGTCATACCTCTCCCCTTCATAACTCCATCCTTCTGGACATGGCACCACCCCTTCTCCATCCTCTCTTATCCAGTCTTAACTCCTCCTCGATTGTCAGACTCTGGCTCCGCCCCTGACCCGCCAGCCTGCCCTGCCTGGCCCTGCCCCCAGACTCATCTGGACGGGCCCCACCCCTGATCTTCTTAGCCCTGTGCCCTAGCTCCTGGCTCTTCCCCTAGCTCCTCCTTCCTCCCCCAGCTCCTCCCTCTTCCCAAGCTCCTCCCCCTTCCTCTGGCTCCTCCCTCCTCCTCGGCTCCTTCCTCTTTCCTAGCTCCTCCCTGTTTCCCAGTTCCTCCCTCTTCCCCAGCTCCTCCCCCTTCCTCTAGCTCCTCCCTCCTCCTCTGGCTCCTCCCTCCTCTCCCACCTCCTCCCTCTTCCTCAGCTCCTCCCTCTTCCCAAGCTCCTCCCTCTTCCCCAGCTCCTCCCCCTTCCTCTGGCTCCTCCCTCCTTATTTGGCTCCTCCCTCCTCCCCTCTCCTAATCCTTTCTTCTCCCCTGGTCAACATCAGCGCTAGCCTGGCTTGGCTCTTGAACCCTTCCCTTGAACTTCACCACACCCTCAGCCCCGCCTCTGCCCACAGCCCTCACTCAGCCTCCCTAACCTGAATCTCCAGAATTCGATTTTTTAACCATGAACCAGAAGATGCTGAAGCCACACAGAACAGCTCCGGCCCTGGTGACTGAAGAGATGCTACAGCGGGTGAGGGAGTGGGAGGGGAGCCACCCATCATTAGGCAACCCCCACATGGGTGTAGAGTTGTCTCAGGAAGACTATGCTGTCACTCAGCCTCAGAGTTAGTGACCATCCAGGCTCGGGGGCACCTTTTTTTGTTTTTTTTTGTTTTTTTTTTTGAGACGAAGTCTCGCTCTGTTGCCCAGGCTGGAGTGCAGTGGCCGGATCTCAGCTCACTGCGAGCTCCGCCTCCCGGGTTCACGCCATTCTCCTGCCTCAGCCTCCCGAGTAGCTGGGACTACAGGCGCCCACCACCTCGCCCGGCTAGTTTTTTTGTGTTGTTTAGTAGAGACGGGGTTTCACCGTGTTAGCCAGGATGGTCTCGATCTCTTGACCTCATGATCCGCCCGTCTCGGCCTCCCAAAGTGCTGGGATTACAGGCTTGAGCCACCGCACCCGGCCGGGGGCATCTTAATATCCCTTTAGCCTCAAGATCATCCCTAGCTTCGCCGGGTGCGGTGGTTCACGCCTGTAATCCCAGCGCTTTGGGAGGCTGAAGCAGGCGGATCTCCTGAAGTCAGGAGTTTGAGACCAGCGTGGCCAACATGGTGAAACCCCGTCTCTACTAAAAATACAAAAATTAGCCGGGCATGGTGGCGCATGCCTGTAATCCCAGCTACTCGGAAGGCTGAGACAGAATTACTTGAACTGGGGAGGCAGAGATTGCAGTGAGCCAAGATCGTGCCATTGCACTCTAGGCTGGGCAACAGAGCAAGACTCTGCCTCAAAAAAAGGAAAAAAAAAATAGAGATAATCCCTAGCTCACTCCCCAGGGTCGTGTCCAGGGCAGCTCAGGGGCATCTTTGCACCACCACCACTGTTATACCCAAGACGAGGGTTAATTCAGAGCCACCGAGGATCACCCCAGCCCTGGAGTCCTTCCAGGGACACCCCTGGTTACTCTCCAGCTTCTTATCCAGCTCCTTATTCAGCCTCGCCTGGGGCCCTTTTTATCCACCTCTCCCCAGGGTTCAACCTCCCCAGCCTTTGATGCTCTGGCTCTGCCCCTAACCGGCCCCACCCTTCCCCTGGCTTCACCTCCTGAAGGGCTAAATCCCACCCCAAATTGACCAGAGCCCAAACTCCACCCCTGGACAATTTGGCCCCTTCGTAGCCATGTCCTACGCTTGTATAACTCCACCCTTCTGGTCATAGCCTTGCCCCTTTCCCTATCCTCTCTTACCCAGTCTTAACCATCCTCCTTCGTCAGACATTGGCTCTGCACTGACCAACTAGCCTGTCCTGCCTGGCCCCAGCCCCTGACTCATTAGGCCTGGAGATCCTGGGGTGGACAGGGTGGGTCAGCCACCTCCCAGGCTGCCCTGCCAGGCTGTCCACCCTGACTCCGCAGTGCAAGTACAGTCACATGGAGCCCCCACTGGGTGGACTGCGCTTCTTCTCAACCCAATACAAGGACGACTTTCCTTTCAAGTATCAGGGTCCAGCAGCCCTGAGACTGAAAAATCCTCAGGAGGGCTTCGGGCCCCTAGGCACACCTCACCAGCATGGCTGCAGGGAGAAGATAGACCCTCGGGCTCCCCAGCCCCCTATGTACCCGTGTCCCAGCCAGTAATAAATGCCACCTTGGCAACATTCCATTCTTTCCCATCAGTCAACCAGTCAAGAGGATGCTTGGGTGGGTGGGGGCTGGGAGAAGGGACTGCACGGGAAAGGATGACTCCATTGTTGCTGTGTTGCCATGAAGAGTATGGAGTCAAGGCTGGACGCGGTGGCTCACACCTGTAACCCCAACACTTTGGGAGGCTGAGATGGGAGGATTGCTTGAGCCCAGGAGTTTGAGATCAGCCTGGGCAACATAGGGAAATCCTGTTTCTACAAAAAATAATTGGCCAGGCGCAGTGGCTCACACTTATAATCCCAGCATTTTGGGAGGCCAAGGCGAGCAGATCACCTGAGATCAGGAGTTCGACACCAACCTGGCCAACATGGTGAAACCCTATCTCTACTAAAATACAAAAACTAACCAGACGTGGTGGCACATATCTGTAATCTTAGCTACTCGACAGGCTAAAGCACGGAATCACTTGAACCTGAGAGGCGGAGGTTGCAGTGAGATCACACCACTGAACTCCAGCCTGGGCAGCAGAGCGAGACTACATCTCAATAAATAAGTAAGCAAGTAAGTAAGTAAATAAATAAATAAAAATTTAAAAAACCAGGCATGGGGGTACATGCTTGTAGTCCCAGCTACTCAGGAGGCTGAGGTGGGAGAATGACTTAAGCCCAGAAATTTGATGCTACAGTGAGCTATATGATTGCACTACTGCACTCCAGTCAGGGCAACAGAGCAAGAACTCTGTCTCAAAAAAAGAAAAAATGAAAAAAGTTGTAGTGCTGAACAGAGATATTGGTGTGTGTGCTTGAGAACATAGATCCCTGTGGGGGCTGGATGGACATAGTCCAAACCCGGACTCCTCCATGTCCTGGAGAGTAGTTTGGGCAAGTCACCTAACCCTGCTGAGCCTCAATTTGCTCATCTATGAAACGGGGATAAGTAGCAACTCTCCCATGAGACTGTTAAACATGAGAAATGTCCACACTTTTCAGTGCATGGGGCTGGGGTCGTGGAGGGAAAGCTCCCCTTCTGAGGATGAAAGTGGGGAAGGCCAGGGTGTGGGGAAAAAGCTTTCAATGGTGGGGACACTGGGTGTGGCCTGTAGAGGACATGGAGGAGTGGACACAGTTGACAATAGCCCAGCAGTTTCTTCCATCATGGGCAGAGACTAGAGACCGAATGGGGCACTGACTGTCTGGGAAACTGGCCCCCAGGTCAGAGCAGAGTCCAGAGGCAAATTGACAAAAGCCATCAAGACATTACCAGGTCCAAGGGGGTAAGTGTTCAGCCAGAGACAAAATGTAAAGGATCAAAAGGAGGAGGATGTGATGGGGCTCTGCAACAAGTGAGTGACAGGGCTTAGTAAGGACCAGTACCTTGGACAGCGCCTGACCTTGAAGGTCCAGGGCGTGGTGAGGAGAAAGGTCTGTCTGGGGTAAGGTCTGTCTGGGGTAAGGTGCCTGCCTCTGTGGGCTGTTGAATGTCCAGTTTCAAGGAGTGAATATGGCTTTCCTGAACCGAGAATCAAACCTCCAAAGACCAAGGACCCCAATCCAATGAACCATGAGGTTCAGCCAATCTCAACCCTGCCCAGGAGCCCTTTCCTGGTTGGCATCAGTTCTTCTAGGCCAGGTTGTCATTTCTGCAAGAAAGGCAGGAGGGAATCCAGCTTTGCATCCTGTAGGGACAAGATGACCCTTTGGACCTCACATGGTATCCACATTGACCATGCAAGAATCTGCCGGCTGTAGAATATGTCCTCTAAAGATATTTGGCATCATGCTTTTCTGAGTTACTTCAGGATAAACCAGGGCTTGTCGTTTATTGATGTCTTAGATCATTCTTTATTGGAGGCTCTCCTGTGCATTGTAGGATATTTAGTGCCATCCTTGTCCTCTACCCACTAAATGCCAGTAGCACCTCTCCCTCCCACTTGTAACAAAATGTCCAAATATTGCCAAATATCTTCTGGATGGGAGAGAATTGCCCTGGTTGGAAATCACTGCGGTAAGCTCATCCTCTTCTGATGAAGCTGGTCTGCCTAGTGACCAGACTACTAGAACAGAAAGGTTTTCCCTTTTTGCCTTGCCTGCTGGGAAGCTCAGAATGTTTATTTGGTCTTAAGTTCTATGTAGCTCTAGTTGTGGGATTATCTTCCTGCCTCATGCCAGGAATGGTTTATTTATTTGTTATTTATTTATTTATTTATTTTCAGACAGAGTCTTGCTCTGTCACCCAGGCTGGAGTGCAGTGTCATGATCTCAGCTCACTGCAAGCTCTACCTCCCAGGTTCATGCCATTCTCCTGCCTCAGCCTCCCCAGTAGCTTGGACTACAGGCGCCCACCACCACACCCGGCTAATTTTTGTTTTGTTTTGTTTTGTTTTGTTTTTTTAGAGATGGGGTTTCACTGTGTTAGCCAGGATGATCTTGATCTCCTGACTTAGTGATCCACCCATCTCGGCCTCCCAAAGTGTTGGGATTAAAGGCGTGAGCCACTGTGCCTGGCCTGGAATAGTTGAAAACAGCCTTAGGCATTAGATGAAAACAGTCCATAGCTATTAAAAAGAGCTGGATTTCAGCACAACTTGAAGCGTTTTCTAACAATGAAAATGACCAGCCCTAGGATGGCTTGCCAGGGAAGAACAGAAACTGTACTGGAAATGTTTAATCCTCGGGGAAAGACATTACATCAGGATGATTCTGGATGTACTTTATGGATTTATGACTAACCCTCCTATATTCCACTCACCCCCTTCCTCCCCCAAAAAGCCTAGGGATTAAGACAAATAATATCGAATTGAATGTGAGAAACTAAGTTTTTTCTTTTTTTTTTTTCTTTTTTTTTTCCCCCAAAACGGAGTCTCGCTCTTGTCATCCAGCCTGGAAAGCAATGGTGCAATCTCAGTTCACTGCAACCTCCGCCTCCCGGGTTCAAGCGATTCTCCTGCCTCAGCCTCCCAAACAGCTGGAATTACAGGTGCCCGCCACCGTGCCTGGCTAATTTTTGTATTTTTAGTAGAGACGGGGCTTTACCATATTGCTCAGGCTGGTCTTGAACTCCTGACCTCGTGATCTGCCTGCCTTGGCTTCCAAAGTGCTGGGATTACAGGCATGAGCCATCGTGCCTGGTCACCAAGATTAATTTTTAAAGGAAAACAACTTTCTCAATGGAAAACATCACCCAGCAGCAGAATTCAGACCTGCCTTTCTGTCCTTAGGCAGGAATACTCCCTGACCCTCACTTTCCCTCTCTGTAAAATGGGAATGCAAATAGTTCCCGTTTCAGAGAGTATATACAGGAATTAAATAAAAGGTGCATGTACCATGCTCAGAAGAGGGCCTGGCACTTGGCTGCAGCTCAATGAATGGTGACTAAATGTGTTAATGTCTTATATCATTTTGTTGCAAGCGACAGAAACCAAGCTCTATCTGACTCAAGTGAAAAAAAGGAATTTCATTGATTTAGAAAAAAGCCAGACATGGTGGCTCGTGCCTGCAATCCCAACACTTTGGGAGGCTGGGGCGGGAAGATCACTTGAACTCAGAAGTTCAAGACCAGCCTGGGCAACATAGTGAGATCTCATCTCTACTAAAAATAATTTAGAAAATTAGCTGGGCATGGTGGCATGCACCTGTAGTCTCAGCTACTTGGGAGGCTGAGGTGGGAGGATTGTTTGAGCCCAGAAGATTGAGGCTGCAGTGAGCTATTATCACTGCACTCCAGCCTGGGCAACTGAGCAAGATCCTGTCTCAAAAATAATACACACACACACACACACACACACACACACACACAGAAACAAGAAAGTCTAAGTCTGAAATTGGGTCTAATATCAGGCATTTTGCATCAGGACTCTGTCTCCCTGGCCATCTCTCAGTCCTCTGTCCCTCCAAACAACAGCAAAGGAAGATGTTGGTAGTATTTACCAATGCTAATGATTAAAGCCCCTAGAGAGGGGGCAGGGTCTTTCCAAACATGCTCTCTCTATTGAGTTTTTTGCGGTTTTTTTTTTTTTTGAGACAGAGTCTCACCTGTCACCAGGCTGGAGTGCAGTGCTGCAATCATGGTCACTGCAACCTCCACCTCCTGGGTTCAAGTGAGTCTCCTGCATCAGCCTCCCAGTAGCTGGGATTACAGGCACGCACCATCATGCCCGCTATTTTTGTACTTTTATTAAAGACGGGATTTCTTCATGTTGGCCAGGTGGGTCTTGAACTCCTGACCTCAAGTGATCCACCCGCCTCAGTCTCCCAAAGTGCTGGGATTACAAGCGTGAGCCACCACACCGGGACCCATATTGGAATTTAAGGAACAGGCTGATTGGCCCATTTGAATCACACACCCAGTTGTGGACCAATCACTGTGCCTAGAGGAAAACAATATTGTGATTGGCTTGGCCAGCTCAGGAGCCCACCCCTAGGTTATTTAGTTCCCCAAACCCAGTCAGGATCACGGCGCTGGAGCGCAAACTTAACTGACTGTGTCTCCTAAGGACAGATCTGTGTCCTGCCCCAGGTTGCAATCTGGAGGGTGGATTAGCTCAGCTAATAGGCTCTTCCCAGTGAGAGTGATCGTCAGCTTTGTAGACAAGGAATGTTCAGTGTTTGGGAGTAGCTTAGGGTGTCAGATGTTCTCCCATAATCCCAGTCTTATCTTCCACCTCATCATCTGCCTCATCTTTTAGCCTGGAACAGAAAATTCAGCTCTGACAATCTCACAAGATGAAGCAGATGAGTCTCTGCTTTGAGAAGGAACACATTCCAGAAACTTGTGTCTTTCTTGCAAGACTTTGCTGAAGATTGCATGAAAGCTGCTCCAGGCCCCAGGCCAGGCATGGTAGCTCACACCTGCAGTCCCAGCAAGTTGGAAGGATTGCTGAAGCCAGGAGTTCGAGACCAGCCAGGGCAACATAGTAAGACCCTATCTCTACAAATAAAATAATAATAATAGGCAGGCATGGTGGCTGTAGTCCCAGTTACTCAGGAGGCTGAGTCCCCAGCTACTCGTCTGTAGTCCCAGCTACTCAGGATGCTGAGGTGGGAGGATGGCTTGAACCCAGGAGTTCAAGGCTGCAGTGAGCTACGATTGTGCCACTGCACTCCAGCCTGGGTGACACAATGAGACCCTGTCTCTAAAAAAGAAAGAAAGCTTCCCTATATTCCAATATTCTGGTCCTTAGGAGACACATGGTTAGAGTTCCATGATAAAATAGGTTACTATTTATTTATTTATTTTTATTTTTTTTATTTTTGAGATAGAGTCTTGCTCTGTCGCCCAGGCTGGAGTACAGTGGCGCGATCTCGGCTCACTGAAATCTCCACCTCCCAGGTTCAAGTGATTCCCCTGCCTCGGCCTCCTGAGTAGCTAGGATTACAGGCACCTGCCACCATGCCCGGCTAATTTTGTATTTTTAGTAGAGATGGGGTTTCACCATGTTGGCCAGGGTGGTCTCAAACTCCTGACCTCAGCAATCCACCCATCTCAGCCTCCCAAAGTGCTGGGATTACAGGTGTCAGCCACCACGCCTGGCCAGGCAACAATTTAATCAGCTGGTTTTCTTCCACATAACTCTAGTTTTCTGGGGGAAAGCTCTTTTACATAGCCCCTGTGTACATCTAGACAGGTTGTGCATTACATAATCTAAGGTGCCCTGTTCACTTTATAGTCCATGTGTGTGGCAATCCTGGCTCTCTACCCCATCTTCCTTTAGTTGGCTCCACATTTTAAGGTTTTATTTTTAAGATTTTTTTTTTTATTTCTCTTTCCTTTCCAGGTAATAATTCCTAAATTAGTCAAGACTGTCACGGATGCAAGAAACAGACATCCACTATAACTAGCTCAAACACCCAGAATATTTGTGGGTTTGTGGTACAGGAAAGAATGAGTTCTCTGGCTTCAGGTACAGCTATATCCAGGAGCTCAACAAATATAGCCAGAGCTATCCCTCTGACTCTTACTTGTACATCTTGGTGCATATTGGCCTCAGTCTGCAGACTGTTCTTTTGAACAACTGGGGAAGGTGACTGCAGACAGAATGAGCTCCTTGTGGCTCATAATCCCAGAGGTAGAATGAGAACCTCCAATGTCACCTTCTCATCCCATACCTAATTATTGTGGCCAGGGGATGGGGCCCTTTGATTAGAGTCCAGATCACATGGGACTGGGAAGGGGTGTTAGACATATGTCCATTTGGAGTAGTGGAGGGGACTCCACAAAGGAAAAGAAAGTACTGTTAGATTCTGAGCCAAAGAAACAACAGATGTCATCACAAGTATTTATAATGGGATCATCCAGGAAGTGGCAGGATAAGGAACTAGGGGCATAATCCAATTGAAGTTATCTCCAATCTCTCAGATCTGCTGTGGGCTCTGCGGAAAGATGGAAAGCAGGTCTCAGGCTATGAGTCCAACACACGTCTAGAAGGTTCAGGAAGGAAGAAGGAACCATAGGGTGTCTCTATAAGGAGGACATGGGGGCAGAGGAGCATCTTATAGAATTTGGGCTTGTACTTGTTAGTTTGGGTTTTTGTTTTGTTTTTGAGATGCAGTCTTGCTCTGTTGCCCAAGCTGGAGTGCAGTGGTGCAATCTTGGCTCACTGCAACCTCCACCTCCTGGGTTCAAGCAATTCTCCTCCCTCAGCCTCCTGTGTGGCTGGGATTACGGGTGTGCGCCACCACGCCCAGCTAATCTTCGTATTGTTAGTAGAGACAGGATTTCACCATGCTGGCCAGGCTGGTTTCAAACTCCTGACCTCGTGATCTGCCCCCCTTGGCCTCCGAAAGCGTTGGGATTACAGGTGTGAGCCACCACACCCAGCCTATATTGGGTGGTTTTAAAGAGAATTACTAGGGTGGTATTGTTGGGAAGCTGGGAGCACTTTGCTGACTAGGTATTTCGGTGATTTTTATCTCAGAGGTGGGAGGATGGAAGTTGGGTTGGATTTGTGGTCGGTAAGAAGTGGCAGTCATTTGTGTTCACTGGGAGAGGGGGATGAGAACTCATTTTTGTGGTTGCAGAGGGCCCATGTCTCTATCTTGGTTCAGACATGGTCACAGAGTGGCCTTGTCTCATCATTGTTTATATTCTGTGGCCACTGTTTATATTTAGTGGAGAACATCGCGGCCCAGCCGCCAGGAGCTGATTTCCACTCTCTCTCCTGGCTGGCAGTGGGGATCTGTGTCTCCAAGGCAAGTTTGCCCCCAGCCCTTCCCAGCCCTGCCTAAGGTTCTCCGGAAACCATCACTCACATCTAGCACTTGGAGGCCTCCAGGGACAGCGGTGACCCGCCATCTGGGTAGGAGGCTGAAAACACTAGGGGACGAATATCCCAAATCTGTGCCTTGGCGGGTGTTACCCAGAAAGGGTGACGGGTTTCACCATGCATAAAGGAAAAATTGGAGGAAGGCCAGGTTAAGCAAAACTAGACTTATTTTTAGATTGCAGAGCTGAGAAGCTTGGCTGTGCCTATGTGCATTGCAAGTCTACAAGAACAACATGTGTAGAGTTTTATGAACAAAGATAGAGTCAGAGACATGGGCAACAGGCAGAGACAGACAGAGAGACAGACAGAGAGAGAGACAGAGGCAGAGAAAGCAACAGAGGCAAAGAGATTGGAACACAGAGAGAAAGAGATGAGGACAGAGACACAGAGAAAGGAACAGAGATGGGAAGACAGGGACAGAACAGACAGAGAATGAACAGAGACAGAGAGATAGGGACGGAGAGAGACAGAGAGAGGGATAGAGACGGAGAGAAAGAGACAGGGCCAGGGCCACAGAGGGGCTGAGACAGGCCCAGGAGGAGACTAGGGATGGGGCCAGGGCTGCGTGCGGGCGGGGCATGGTGCAGACAAAGGCGCGGCCGCGCGGCCGGGGTGGCCCGGCCGGGGACAAAGGCCTGCCCGGGGGGCGGGGGCAGCGATGGCGACGGCCGCGGCGGGCGCGGGCGAACTACAAGTCCCAGCAGCTCCCGCTGCGGCCCTCGGCCGGCCCCTCTCGCTCCCCGGGAGCGCCTGGCGGGGCCGCTGGGCCGAGGGGGCCGCCGGCGGGGCTGGCGGGCGGGGGGCTTCCTGCGGGCCCGTCTCTTTGGGAGGGGGCGTCCCTGCGCTCCCAGACCCCAGAGCTGGCGGGCGCCCCCCCACCACGCCCGATTGAAGTGTTCCCAACTCCAGGGCTCTTTTCCCCGGCCTCAGCGGCTGCGGGATGGGCCACGTAGGCCGGTGAGGCCGCGGGGTCCCCCCATCGCCGCCCGCGGACCCCCACTCGCCCGGTGCAGCCTCTTTGCCCC